GGCTGGGAGAGGGGTTTTTTTTTTAAAAAAAAAATTATTATTTTTGTAATAATTTAATTATTAAAAATATATACTACCTCCGTTACACATTATTTGCAACGATTTGACATAATGTAGAGAGGGAAAATGTCTAATCGTTGCAAATAATATGTAACGGAGGTAGTAAAACAAAACTAACTATGGTTTTAAAAAAAAATTATTAAAATGGTTAATATCATTGGTAACATAATGTTAATAATAAAAAATATAAAAAAGTCGACTTTTTATCAAAGGAAAAAGATAAATTTGGATTTTTTTTTTTTTTTTTTGGTATTTAGTGAACTTTAATGGCGGATGATGATAATCGATTCCAAGATTCCCTTAATTGGGTGAAAAGCTCTAACCACATGAGCTATATCCCAAGTCCCCAGTCTCGCGATTAAATTTGATATTATCAAAGAAAATTTTCCTTTATTTTTGTGGCTTACTTATAAAAAAAATGTTACTCTGCACTTCTGCAGTATGTAATAAAATATTACTTCGTATATAGGTCTATGTTTATGTTTATGTTTGCTAGTCAAGTTGTATAAAAGCCAAAATGTTCCAATAAAATAGGAACATAAGATTGTAAAGAAGAGTTTGAAAAGGCAGAGTTGTTAGTTGTTACCAACAAATACTCGTAGAAACCAATCATCATTTCAATCCTCAACCTTCTCCCACAAATCCCCAATACAATTCCCCAATGGCCCAACCTACTGATCTGCTCTTGCAAATACTTTGTTGGGTGTCGATGTAACATTTTGTCTCAAGGGTCTCAAGGTGTGGGTTTACAATTATTCCTACTGTATCAAAATAAATGTTACATGATTGGCACAATCATCAATACGAATTTGGACCAATGATATAATTGATTTATACATGAAGTGACGATACAAACCAACAAATAACAAATAAGGTGAAGAGAATCGGGTCTAATTTGAGCTTATCTTAACTAAATTTATCATAATCTATCTAAATTCATTCAGACTTATTTTAATTGCGGCTATTTCACCAAATGTCACAGAGTACTTAAAATATTCACCAAATGCCATCAAGGTTTTCAAAATTAACCAAATGCCATCGAGCTTTTAAATAATTCACCAAATGTCATTAATGACTAACGGCCATTAACTCCGTTAATCATTAAGATTAAATCTTGACATGTGTCATTATATGATTGGTTCATTTTAATTATTTATTTTAATCAATAAAAATAAAAAAAAATTCTTCATTTTCGTGGCAAAAATTGCTCGGGTATAGTTTTGGGGGTCATTTTCACCCTTTATGGATACAAATTAAGCTCAGAATTGACAAAAAAAATCACGTAAATGCTCCGTTTTATATGTTGAAAAATATTTCGATTAGCGTGTCGTTATTTTTTAACCATCAAAATTGATCGGCTAAGGTTTTGGGGGTCATTTTGACTCTTTATGGGTACAAATTACTCACGATTGACAAAAAAACGTAAATACTCCATTTTGTGTGTTAAAAAATATTTCGATTAGCGTGTCTTTTTTTTTACTCATCAAAATTGATCGGGTAAGGTTTTAGGTGTCATTTTGATCCTTTATGAGAACAAATTAAGCTCCGAATTGACTTAAAAATAACATGAATGCCCCGTTTTGTATGTTGATATTGTTATTTTTTTCCAAAAAAAATGCAAAACGGGCCAATTTCGAGTTTAATTTGTCCCCATGAAGGGTCAAAATGACCCCAAAAATCTTACCCGAACAATATTCGTTACGAAAATCGAAAAAAAAAATTATTTTTATTCATTAAAATAAATAATTATTATGTATTAATTTGAAAAAGTAATGTCATTTGGTGAAATGATTTTCCAAAGTAATGGCATTTGGTGAAATAAAAATTGCATTAACAAAAAACTAACGTTCATATGCTATTAGTGGCACGAGGTGTCATTGTATTGTTTATCAGTGGCATTTGGTGAATTTTGAAAAGTTTGATGGCATTTGGTGAATTTTGTAAGTACTAAGTGGCATTTGGTGAAATAGCCGTTTTAATTGTAACTAGAACTTTTCCTAAAAAAAAAAAAAAAAAAAAAAAAAAAATTGTAACTAGAACTTGAATGACCCTTATTAACCTCTATCAAGATCCTTATGTTCCCCTTATTTTCACTTAATTTAGAAAAATAAATACATATAAGAGTGAAGGAGTTCAAATAAGATTTGCATGAAACATATACTTATTACCTCCATTTTTTTAGTTAATATGTATTCTGTATTTCTTTTTAGGAAGTTTTTTTTAGTTGATACATTTCCTTTTGGGTTATGTTTTTTACTTTCCATTTACTATTTACCCCACTCAGGGCCGTCTCAAATAATTTGAAGGCCCTGTTCTAATTATAATTAAGAGGCCCTTAAAATTAATTTTTTTTTTCTTTTTGAAGATTAATTTGGGTTTCTTGAAACTTAAAATTTATTAATTAATCTATAATACTCCACTGTTTATCTGATGTCTGACTTAATTTTGGGCATAAAATAAAACTTGTATAATGTCATTAATAATTACTCCGTAATATTAATCTGGGTAAATAATAATAATAATAATAATAATCTGCAGGTGATGTTCGTCACTATGCATTTCTTGCTTCTCGGTTGCAGTCTGCTGGGTTGCAGACACAACTTCTACGACATGCTGGTGTTGTTGGTCTTGGACGAGCCTTTAAGGATGCGCTGGGTCTGTTTAATGGAACAGTGGATTCTGACATTTTGAGTAATCCTAGTGAGGTTGCTGCCCCTAAACTCGTGAAGAAATTGGCAGATATATATTTCACAAAGGTTACCGCTTCAGCAGACTCTGCTTTTTCTTAAACTCCTCGGAAATCGGCATTATGGAAATCACAGCAAGGAGATCACACCTCTGCTTGGCTTAGGGCGGTCCCTATTCCGGGGTTGGGTCAGACGATGAACGCCAAGACTTATCGCTGTGTGTTGTGCTACCGGTTGGGTGTTCCATTGTTTTCTATCACGACGCCGTGCTCTGCTTGTTCAAGAGTTTTTACTGGGGATATTTACGATGATCACGCGGTGTCTTGTGCTGGTATTGTGGGCATCAAACATCGGCATAATGTTGTTCGGGATACCCTTGTTGATGTTTGCTATCGGTCAGGGATTTCAGCTAGAAAGGAGGTGGACATTGGGTTATTTTGGAGGGAACGACAGGGCTCTCAGACCTGCGGATGTGTTACTTTATTCACGGGATCGTGGTCGCGATGTCTATGTTGACTTGACAGGGTCTTCTGCTTTGACACAGTCTGGGCTTTCTGACTTTGTTCCTGGATGGGTAGTGACTGATGCGGCCAATCGGAAGCGGTTCAAGTACGAATCCAGTTGTCGAGCAATCGAATATGGCTTCCTTCCTTTCTCTTTCTCTTCTCTTAGGGAGTTAGAAAAGGAGGTTGTTGCATTGCTTAAGCGAACACAGAAGTTCTCGAAGACTCTAGATATTGGGGCGCGTGCTGCAGCTCATATCTTTACTAGGATCGGCTTTTCTATAGCTAGAGGAGTGGGGGCCCAGATTGTATCTCGGCTTCTCACTAATATTCTATAGATTGTATAACTTTGTATGGTTTTGAGTAATAATAATAATAATAATAATAATAATAATAATGTTAGTCCAACATGTTCTGTTAATGAACCGAGCCTTGAAAATTGAGCTCGGCTCAAGCTCAAGTGCTCCAAAAAGTGGAGCTCGGCTCGTGGCTCGTTATTGGCTTGAGTCATTATAAGCTCGAAATTGAAATGCTTACCCAAACAACCCAAGGCACAAACTTTAATAGTGGGCTCTTGAGTGTTGACCTTATTGTTTTTATTAACAATTTTTCTTTGACAAGATGCTTATTAACTTATTTAAACATAAAAATACATATATTTATTTTTAAGAAAATCTTCGAGCCTCTTGCGATCTTTTCGAACTGAGCCTAGCCTGGCTCGTGTATTGTCTCATTTAGTCTTGAGCTGAATCCGAACTCGAGCCTAACATTGACCAAGCGGAGCTCGAACAGTTCACAAGCAACCTCAACGGAAAATTAGCAATAAATGAAATTTTGAAGTTTTGACAACTTATGGGGGTAATTAAGTTCTATGAATCTGGTATAATTGTGTTTATTTAGCTCTGATTCTCGTGAATACAAGAAGTCAGTGGAAATGGATTTTTTTTTAACAATTGGGCTCCGAAAATGTTGGGCCCTCAATATTACGGGGCCCTGTGCTAAGGGTCTGTTTGGACATGCCCTTAGCCGGCCCTGGCCCCATTTACTTTATCATTCTCTATCACTCTCTCCTCTCCTTGATATATACAAGTATATGTCTAAATTGAACGCGTCAAAATATAAACGGAGGAAGTATACGTTATGATAAAAATTAATATATGAGAGCTACATAAGGTCATTTTACAACTAAGTTCTAATAATGTTTAATAATTTCGAACAAATTTAGAGTATCAACATTCCATTTTAAAGAAAGAGTTGATATTTTGAAATCAAGTTAATATTTCCTAATAAATTATACTTCTTTTGTTTTGTTTTGTTTTTTTTTAACACTTTAATTATGCATTTTTTGCAAACTTGACATGAAAATTTTATATTCTTTACTTATGTATAATGAATGGGAAAATACAAGTTAATATGCCAGATAAATGAATTTTTGTTAATCTGATGGCATTTTTGTAAATATATTGAAAAAGCAGGGTCATTTATTCAGTACTTTTGGTGAGCTGTCCAGTACTATTTGCTTTTTGCTTTTAATGTTTGGTGAGGAAATTACACATGTACCCCTCAACTAGTACATGAAAAGACGCATATACCCTCCACTGGTACTTGAAAAGTCAATTATACCCCCAGATAAACAAATTTTGTTTATGTGAGGAATTAACTGGGTATCCCTCATAATGAATATATAAGTGACGAATAATAAATTGAAAAGCATAAAAACAAAGTGTGACAAGTAATTAAAGAGAAAGTATAACGTAAAACTTAAGAACTTCGTTTGTTCCATTATAATTCAATAGTAACAAAACAAGCAACATGCGTGTATCAGCACGCTTACAATATAGTAGCCTATACTAGTAGGACTACTAGTCTACTAGGATATATAGATATTTAGAACAAAAGAAGTAACGTTGATAAACCAAGACCATATCAATCACTTGGTTATTATTGTATAAACACTCCAAAATCATATGAATTAGGGGCTCTTTCAAAATTTCGATTGGAGCATCTTCACTATGTGTTCATCTAGCTGGAAGGCCTTGCTTAGTACAGCAACATTAATAGGTGGATCAGCCCCGAAAACGGCGTTAGCAATGGTGACCGTACCAGGGTTTTGGCTGCTTAATCCAGCAATAGCAATAGCAGGATATTTTCCAATATTGAATTGAAAATGAATGAGGCCTTGTGGGAAAACAAACACATCGCCTTTGTTAAGCACCTTAGCGAATAACTTGTTATCGCCGTTAGCAAGGTTGGAAGTTACAAAGCCTACATAGAGGCTTCCCTCAATGACCGTAAGAATTTCGCTTGCACGAGGATGAGTGTGAGGAGGATTAAGGCCATATGGTGCATAGTCAATCCTAGCCAAGGATATGCCGAGGGTGTTGAGCCCTGGAAGTTGTAATGCAGAGACTAGAGTGACAGCGGATTGTACCCTATTGCTAGTGTTCCCGGGCTTGTCTAGCCCATCCTTAAAGAAATCCTCGGGTTTAGCATCCATTGGATTCTTACAAAACAATCCATTCACAAACACTGCAAAATTATTAAATACTCCTTAATTAGCATCAATTTTAAAAATAAAGTACAAATCAAAATTAAAATTAAATAAATTCATAATGTTTGTAATTAAATTGGACAAAAAAAAACAAAAAAAAAAAAACAAAAACATACGTTCATTATTTGGATCGTTTACCGCAACACAGAAGTCTTGTAGCTGAGTAGGATCAGTCGCATAGGCCATGTAGGAAGACATGGCTAAGAAAGTAAGGTAAACAAGAAAATAACGAGCTTCCATCTTAAGTTTTTTATGAAATTGGTATGTTACACTCAATTATGTATGAGAGTATTATTACAAAGTGCAAGTTATAATCTTCTTGCATGCTAATTGATCCTTTAATAGTTCAAAGACGTGCATAGAATTGGTCATTAATTATCATGAAAATTCTTTTTTAATTGTTTTTATTTTCAATGAGGGTAGTTATTTAGTGGTTTAATTTTTTTACTTAGCAGGTAATGACCTCGTCAGTCTTGCATTATTGACATAGTCAGATCATGAATATAGTTTTAAATAATTAACTTAATCAACTAATGTTATAAGATTAGGTTGATCAGTTAGAATAGTATGTTTTAACTAATAATGTAATATTCCAAACATTATGAGTACGTAGGGTGTTTTGATAAATGCGAAAAACAGATAAGCACAATCTAAAGTATATACTTCGTACAAGAGTAAGAATCTAAGATGCATGATTTTCTAACTACTACCTTTATTTTTGTAAAAGTTTAATCAATTACAAACTCTTAAATAAATTTGGTTCCTATATTAACATAAAGATTAATATGTTAAAATAAAAGTCATTATATAGAGTAATGAAAGATTTTTTAATGAAAAATTTAATATATATCGGTGATGAATTTAAGGGGAGTAAGATATGCTAACATATTAAGATATACAATATTTCTCAAAATTTTAATATGTTAGCATATCTTGCACTTTATATTTGTCATTCATTTTTGTTATTTTTTAATGACAATTATTTTTTTTACAGCAATAGAATATGATAACTTTTTATTCAATATTTTTTTATCAACTAGTTCAACCTAATTTGGGCAAATTCTTATATGTGGCTGGCCACATGGTGTGGCCAGTCCGTTTCATATAACGGACTCCGTTATTTTAAATTAAAAAAAAAAGTGCCTTTCTTTTTTTTCATTTTATTACATCAAAAGGTTCTTCTTTCCCAAAGTTTTCTCATTTTCTCGGTTTCCATTTTCTCTCTCCTCAAACTGTTCTTCTTCCTCTCTCTCCTCAAATTCTTCTCCTCAAATTCTCTCTCCTCTAAATTGTTCTTTTCGTTGATAATGACTAAAATCAAGATAATCTTCCCCAAGGGAAAGAAAGGATCGACATATACGCTGAACTCTCCTACTTCTGATATAAATCAAACCCTAATTTTAGTAACTTTTCGAATTTCCTGTCATCTATGCTCTATAATTTGAACAAGCATCGTGAGATTGTTTTGGATGGTGTAAAAGAATTCGTGAGTAGAAATCAAGCAATTTATGAAGAATTACTAGAGAATGAAAAGAAACAAAAGGCAGATGAAATGGAGGCTGCTAAGAAGATGCTCGAGGAGCTTGCTAATGTAGAAGATACAACAATATTTACTTTTTTCATTATGTAGGGATTACTTTTAAAAATTACAGTGTACTTGTTTTAGGGGTTACTCGTTGGTTTTATAGGGTTACTTTTTAGTGTTATAGGGGTTACTTGTTGGTTTTACAGAATTTTCTTGTTAAGTTAGAGGGGTGTAGACGCCCATTTGTGTCTCCCCAAAACCAAACCCGGTGATGAGTACCTTTCACATCGAATCATAATTGAATGAAGCGAAAGTGTGGAAAGTTTAGTGTTGCGGATAGTTTTAATTTCTTTTCTCTTCTTTCTGTTTTTGAAAACTTATTTAAGAAAACAGCCAATCCAGTTTGGTTGGTCCATGATATGGGTCCAATAGTAGTTTAGTTGGATGGGGCTTGACAAGAGCTTTCCAACGATATATTATAAGCCCAATTCCGATGAATATTGAGGAAGTTATGACCAATCTACTAAACTGGGCCCGTTTTGAGATATGCGGCCCAATGATCTTGAGGAGGGCCTAATGTAATTTATCATTCCTAATGCAATTAGGAATGATTTTAATCTTCTAGATTCTTCTAGAAGGTTCTTTTCATTCCTAATTCAATTAGCATTGATAAATTGACTTTTGTTGACTTTTCAGAGTTTTAATTAAAATCAAATAGCATTTTCGAGGAAAATATATGATTTTATCCTCCAGTACGGCAAACTTATCTGATTTTTGAAAACGCGTTAAAAACAGGCTTGGCGCCTGACTCCAGGCACTGGCGCCTGGTGCTAGCCATTGGCGCCTGGCGCCAATTAGCCAGGGTTGGCGCCAGCTCTGTTTTTCGTGCGCCAAACTTTGTTTTGTTAATTTATCTTTTTGGTTGATTTTCTCTATAAATAACGTATTAAAAACTCCGTTTTCATTCACCAATTCTCATCAACAATCAGTTTTCATTCGCAATCATTAATTCCCTAATTTTCTCTTAATTCATTCATCTCTCTCTTTTAAATTAGTCTTTTTCATACAAAATTCCGCATTCGCAAGATTTAGAAACACCTAGCCATATTCGAAGTTATTTTCGCCCTAGACGTGAAAGGTTTAATTTCTGAGGGTTTGGCCCCAAATCTCTATTTCAATTATTTAATTTGATTGTTTTGTTTATTATATTCCTTGAAGTTACTAACGTGTGTATTTTGTTATTAGAAAGAGGTACGAGGCATCAAAGTAAGTGCTTTAATGATTTATTGATTTATTGATGTAGAATTCATGTTTAGATTGTTATCATGATATTCCTAGTATCATGTCTAGGGTAACTTTAATATTAAATATGATTGTTACGATGCTTCCTATGTTCTTCCTAATATTTATGATTGTTAGTATCATGTTAGGGTTAAAGATTAGATTTTTATTGCTTAGTGACATGCTAGAGTTTGTTATTAATCTTGTTAGTATCATGCCTGGGATCTTGCTATTATTATGCTTTAATATTAACATGAACATGATTATGATCATAATTGTTATAATTTATGATGTTTATGAATATTATTATTATTATTTTGACGATTATTATTTTAATATGACGATTATTATTATTATAATTATTTTTATGATTATTATTATTATTATTATTATTATCTTGATGATGATTATAATTTTATTGTCATGATATTTATTGATTATTATTATGTTGCTTAATATTATTTACTTTTTATTGCTTGATCACACCTTTATGCATGTTAAAGGGAATTGGTACTTGTAATCACGTTTAATAAGATATTTGATAATCTTGTTAGGGTTAATTTGATTATAATTCAAGTGATCGTCAATAATAGTTTGTTTGTGCATTAATATTCAACCAACATAGATAAACAGGTTTAGGGTTAATCCTATTGATTGCATGTTAATTAGAAAGCGCACATGAATACGATCAGAATAAAGTAGAGGCCTATTATTAGGGCAGGTTCAATCTATTTTAGGTTGGATTTGTACCTTCATCCCCGAACCCTTATTTGGTTCTAGACCTTATGGAGTTCACGATCTCTTGGATCGTTAAGGGGTGTAACCTTCACCCTGTGAACGGTTTACAAGTTCCTAAAACTTGTTGGCGACTCTTTTGCTCTATCTTCTTCCCTTTTGGATGCCACCGTACTTTAGTGTATGATCACAGTGGGGTTCAAGCTAGGGGTTTAACGCTTGAAATATTCCCCACAGTTTTTTGGCGACTCCGCTGGGGAGGATTTCTATTTTAATTCCTGAATTTGTTTCGGCAATGATTTAGAATGAGTGGATGAGACTCGAAACGTTCTAAGTATTTCATGTGCGTAATTTTGATTAACATTATTGTCATATGCATAAAAAATATCTCATTGGAAAGACCATCCGTAATGAGTTAAAAACATACGATTTTACACGTAGGAAATTTGAGAAATATCTTTCACAACTAGGACCGAAATAACACCGCGCGAAACTAGAAAATTTTATCGAGCACAGAAAGCTGCTGAGGCATGTGGGAAGTAGCGTCAGGGGCCAGAGCTTGGCGCCAGCATTTTAGTCGTAGCGCCAGACGCCAGTATTGGCGCCAGGCGCTACAGTTAAAAGCTGGCGCCAGTCTCTGTTTGCTGGCGCCAATTTCCCCCAATACCGAGCCAGAAATATGCGTTCTAATTTCGACCGGTTTTCGTATTGTTTGCTCGATCCTACTTCCTGATTGAATTTTTTCTCACTTTTCTGAAACCCATATGTGTTCTACATATGGACATAACCCTCTGGGAATTCATGCTCCATCTACCCGATTGAACGCTCCGTGCAACAAAGGGTACATCCGAGATGTTGAATTCACCAAACTATGGAAGCGAGTTTTTTCTAAAGCTCGCGGTGTCCCATCCACTCGCGCCAACCCTTCACGGTTAGGCTTTCGCGCGGTGCATCCGGACAATTAACCATGGACCCTCTATTGACTAAACCATATCCCGAACTTTAGAGAACTAGAGTCATGGTTAGGTTGCAAACTCATTGCATCATATTGTGCCTACTTGACTAATTGTGCATTATTTGTTGTGCATACTCTATGTGATTTTTCCTAACCGTTTGTTTGACTTGTGTTAAGACTAAATAAACTGATTAATGACTAAAGGATTTTGTTTAATTAATTAATTAATTACTTTGAGCTAATAAATAAACATAAAATCGAGTCATAATTCCTTTAAGTCAACCCGGATTTTTATTCCCGTATACTGCACAAACGTCAACTTGTTTTGGTCATAGACGGAGTTCTAGGAAGAACTACGAGTCGTACAACATATGGATCTGTAGCCCCGAGTTTTATCTTTAATTTGGCGTTGATTTCATTCAAATCAAAGTCACAGATAAAAGGTTATGACTAAAATACCACAGTCTGTCAAGTTTAATGCATATACGTGAAGTCTTAACTTAGTCTTTGCTTGAGTCTAGTCACATAGTCTAGCCACATGGTCATGACACGAGTCTTAACGTACTATCTACACTCACTAATCTTAGCACACACTTTGAGTATATGTCACCATGACAATGTCTTAGGTTCATGCATTAGTCGGTCTTTTTCCGTCATTTGAGTTGGGGGTACATTCTATTCCTAATCCTTCATATCCCTCCATCTACATCATTTTTTCTTCACATTCTATTCCAATCTTTCTTCACTTCCTCCATCCATTGCATGTTGAATAAAGTTTGAGTCAAATAATTAACAATGAATATCCCCAAATTCCTTTTCCACAGTACTTGGTCGAGGAGAGAAAGGCGATTAATCAAGGACAACCTCTTTATTCAGGTCTCGCTTTTTGATAAACCGATTCGTCAAAAGAGGAAGGCTAAAAAGATAATGGCAACTCAAGAAGAAGTCAATGAGCTTAGGAACCAATTGGTTACCGTGACTGAGACACTGAAGCTACTCACACTCAAGATCGATGATCCCGTGAAGCAACAACAAATGAACCTCATGCAAGAAAGTTTAAACAAGCTATCTAGTGACTATAAATTTCAGGGGATGAGTTCACAAGGGGTCTCGCTGGACAAGGAACTTCTTCCCCATAAGTTCAACGCACTGACATCCCTAAATTCAAGGCAACAGATAACTTCTGGTCTGGTCTTTGACCGTGCTTCTCTGATCCGATCCTTTATTTTCTCTCTAGAATTTTCAAAAAGTTAATTTTTACCTTTAAAAATTGGTCAATTAATTTCTAAAGTTTAGTAACTTTTTACTTTCTTTAAGTAGTGTATGTTATTGTTTTTTTTTCAATAAAACTGCATTGTTTAAATATAATGAGCTCCTCATTGGTGTAATGATAGAATACTCCGTCCGTATTTTTTTAAGTGTTACACTTACCAAATCCAGTCGTGTTTTAATAAGTGTTACACTTCCTTTAAGTAGTGTATGTTATTGTTTTCTTTCTCAATAAAACTGCATTGTTTAAATATAATGAGCTCCTCATTGGTGTAATGATAGAATACTTCCTCCATATTTTTTTAAGTGTTACAATTACCAAATCCAGTCGTGTTTTAATAAGTGTTACACTTCCTTTTTCTGGCAAAAAGCTACATTAAAATATTACATATCTCTCCTCTCATGATCCCCACCCAAACCCACTACTACTTTTTTTTTATTTTTACTATATCTTTCCTCTCTCATTATTTTTCAATAAACTAACAACTAACCCTACTATATTTCTTTTACAATTTTTTAAATACTCCAACTACCCCACTTATCTCTTATTTTATTTAAGTCAATTAAATTGTCTAAAACTATATTTCGGTCAAACTGTAACACTTAAACAAAAAACACGAAGGGAGTAATATAAATTTTGCTCCTTGATAATTTCAACACCAACATTAGAGACGGGTTAGGTATTTTAAAATATTTTGATACGTTTACATACATTATTAATTAATCTCTTTATTAAAGTGTCGTGTCCAAAAGGTGTGTTACATTGAAAAGAAAACGGAGAAAATATATTCTAGCTAGTAATATAGATATTCCATGGACCATAATGTACTGTAATATCTAACATGAGTGTCAATTATGGGCATGTTTGGCGCTAGCATGCATTTGAGTAGCTTTTAGGTAACTTTTACTTAACAAAAAATGTGAGTGTTTGGAGGTAGCTTTATTTATGAAAAGTTAGAAATATTAGCTTTTGAAAGTAGAGGCCGGTAGCTGTTGAAAATTTAATCTATAGTTTTAAATATAAAATATTGATTTTTATATGTAACAACTAGTCAATCGCTACTTTATCGAACACTCATACCTAAATTATCTATATTCACAACTACATCTTGTTGACAGCTAACAAATACTTTCACATATACTTAGTATATTTTACTCAACACGCCCTAAATAATGTCTTTTTAATGAAGGGAACTACTCTATTATTTGATTTGAGTTGTTATGTGCTTGTTAAATTCATACATCGATCTTTCATTTGTAAATGTTTTATGAAGACTATCTATTAATAATTTGATTATAGTATGATAATATACGACTGTATTGTTTATCATCTACTTTATTTGAATCAATAACAATATTGTGTAAAAAAATCAATAACAATATTTGATTTTTTTTTTTCTTTTTTGACATATAACATTATTTGATTACCAAACCACGCATTCATCACTTCAATCTAGTGATCCTAGATTTGAAGGGTACAAAAGGGAATAATGATCAATAAAGTGCACCGGTCTAACTCTAATTATATACGTACAACTGTACAAGAGTTGATATATTTTGGAATTAAATTAATACTTCACTTTAAAATATATTAACTTTTTTCTGCTTATATTCTAAATTATTTCTTATATTTTAATTTTTTCAGGTTATGTTCTAATTTTTTTTTTCCTATGTTCTAAATTTAATATTCAGCTTATAATCTAAATTTTTTCCTGTGTTTTAAATTATTCTTATGCTCTAAATTTTTTGCTTATGTTCGAATCCCACGTAGGTTAATATTAAAAAAAAAATCAAATATTGTTATTACAGAAATGACATTACTAAATGATCATTTCAGATGATTAGATCAAAACTAATAAACGGCTGAAATTTGTTCATATATAAGATTGAGCTCTTATATAGAAGAGGGTTCTTGTAACACTTTGACTAATGCAATATTTTTTTTGACGGATTTTGATGATTTTAGCTAAGGAAATGTAATTAGTTGTCAAATACATAGTATAATCTTATCCAATTCCCCTTGATTTACACTTTTATAATATCAAATCTATGATATATATTTTATTCTTATTGATAATTAATAATATTGGTGTTCAATATATTGCATTGATGATTAGCATGAAATCAACCGTGCTACAAGAATAAAAAAAATTGAGGAAGTATAACTTAATAAAATGTATTGTATATTATTCAAAGTCCATCATAAAGTATATATCATTGATCATTGTTCCATAACAATTCAAAAACGATATAACAAGTAACAACTAACAAGTAAAACGTGTGTATGTATTAGCACGCACTCATATATATAGTAGGATGTGTATTTAGAACAAGACAACCATAACGATCACTAGGTTGTTTATTGTATGAAATAATACTTCAAAATCGTGGCTTAATCAATTAAAGGCTAATTTAAAATTTTGATTGGAGCATCTTCACTATGTGTTCATCTAGCTGGAAGGCCTTGCTTAGTACATCAACATTGATAGGTGGATCAGCCCCGAAAACGGCGTTAGCAATGGTGACCGTACCAGGGTTTTGGCTGCTTAGTCCAGCAATAGCAATGGCAGGATATTTTCCAATATTGAATTGAAAATGAATGAGGCCTTGTGGAAAAACAAACACATCACCTTTGTTAAGCACCTTTGTAAACAACTTATTATCGCCGTTAGCAAGGTTGGAAGTTACAAAGCCTACATAGAGGGTTCCTTCAATGACTGTAAGGATTTCACTTGCACGAGGATGTGTGTGAGGAGGGTTAAGGCCGTAAGGCGCATAGTCAATCCTAGCCAATGAGATGCCGAGGGTGTTGAGCCCTGGAAGTTGTAATGCAGAGACTAGTGTAACAGCGGATTGTACCCTATTGTTAGTGTCCCCTGGCTTGTCTAGCCCATCCTTAAAGAAATCCTCGGGTTTAGCATCCATTGGATTCTTACAAAGCAATCCATTCACAAACACTGCAAATTTTTAAATACTCCTTAGTCAGCATCAATTTTAAAAGTAAAGTACATATCGTAAATAAGTTAAAGGAAAATGTTATATATAGCTATTAGTGCTACATATAAGCATTAAAAACACTCCTGAAAATTGTTTAAAATTAGAAAATCATGACAAACGCACTATTTACACTGATCTGCGCGTATTTTTGTCATGAATTCCTAATTTTATACAATTTTCAAGTGTTTTTAATGCTTATACATTTGAAATTAAATTGGGCAAAAATCATACACTGATTATTTGGGTCATTCACTGCAACACAAAAATCTTGTAGCTGAGTAGGATCAGTCGCGTAGGCCATGCAGGAAGACATGGCTAAGAAAGTAAGGTAAACAAGAAAATAACGAGCTTCCATTTTTTATTTTTTTTTTCTTGCAAAATTGGTATGTTGCGCTTAATAATGTATGTGAGTATTACAAAGTATGCAAGTGTTATAACCTTCTTGCATGCTAAAGGATCCCTTTTATAGTTGAGGTTGGGGTTAGTACGCTATGGTGTGTCTTATTCATGAAACTTTCTTTTTTCAATTGTTTAGATTTTTAATGAGGGTAGTTAGTTATTGGTCTAATTTTTAACTTGGCAGGTAATGACTGCTTCAGTCTTGCATTTTTGACATAGTCATACATGTAACTTAACTTTATTTAAACAACTAAATCAAAATGTTGTAAGATTAGGTTGATCAGATTGAGTAGGACGTATTAATAATGCAATATCCGATTAGCAAGAGTACGCAACATAGGATCTTTTGATAAATGCGAAAAACAGATAAGTACAATATAAACTATGTAAGACTGAGTTTGCCCCACCTGGTTCACTGAAGCTTAACTCCGATTATATTTGGATTTAAGCTGGGTTACACACCTGGCTTATAGTGGATGTGTCTCCCAATAAGAGATTTTCGCATTTGGTGAGGCTTGAAACTGAGATCTCCCTTAAACGACATCAAGTTGCTTAGCACTTGAGTCAACTCTTGTTGGTTAAACTATGTACAATTAAGATGAATGATTTTCTAACTACTACCTCTAAGTTTTAATTGGAATTTTTTTTTTCTACTGTGTATATTCTATACATAACCATTTTATGGCAATCTTTTACTCCGTATTATTTTTATTTTTGGCAAAATTGGCCGAATATGCACTCAGCAACACGACTTTAGTTAGTGGAGCAAAGTACAACACAACCTTTGGCGGTGGGTGCAAACATGCATTTTTTTTTAAAGGGTAAGAAAAATTTAAACCATTAGGAAGCCCTCCTCACGAGGGGTATTTCCTAATGCATCAGAAGAAATAATAGGGTACAAAGACGAGGAGGTACAAAGAGTAATGTCCATGTTATCACTAACAAGATGACCTACATTAGCGATCCAATCAATAATAAGGTACAAAGATGTCAATGTTATCAAAGGGTGCAAACGTGCAGTTAATGACATACGGAATTAATGAATTTCAACACTGAAATTCCACCTGAGGTACGAATTCTTTTATACTCCTTCTACATTTACTAGGGTGTCCTACGCGTGTCGACACGTGATGCGCGTAAAGGGGCTAGCTCTTGCATAGAAGTTGTACGAAGGGGCTAGCTCTTGCATAGAAGTTGTATTGGCATGTATTTACACCTTCGGTTTAGGAGGTAGACCTGGTGGTTTTAATACGTACTATTTAGTTTATGTGCCTATATGGTAGGCTTTGTAGAAGTATAAGAAAGCCATTAAAATCTTTTATGATAATTATTTTTTAAAACTCATATGAAAGTTTGACAGTGTTATTTCAAAATTATTGTTAAATAATATTTAATTTGCAACCCTTCATATCTTAAGCTATTGTTAGTTTAGAACTCTTAATTGATTTCATGATTCAATAATACTTCACGTGTTTTTCTTCAAACGAATTTTTTGTGAGCTTTGGTCATACGGAGTAATAATATGTGAAATGTTCGTTGTAGCTAAAAACTTAATAATGTAATTTCAATGTTCTACGACCATCTAATATCTACATCTATATCTAATACTAAAGCAATAACCACTTAGTTATATTTTTCCTCTTAAATTCTCTCAATAATTGATACCATTTTTTTCTATCATCGATTTCCCTCGATTTAAGGATTTTTAAGTTATTTTATACCTCTTGATAACATCTGCTCAAATATCATTATTTAATATGAATGTCATTTAAATTCCATAACGTTGTTTATATGCGTGCCATAAATTAATGTACAATTTAAAAGCTAATAAACCTTAACAATAGTTGTAATTAAAGGACAACAAGATTGTAAATAAGAAGAGCAATCACAAAAGAGTAAAAATAAATAAACAGAGTCTTCATACGTAGAATTATATATATATATATATATATATATATATATATATATTTGACGATGTGTATAATTGATGATGTGTTTAATGAAAAATAAACCATTAAATATATTAACGAGTTAGTAAAAATATTAATGAGAGTTAAAACGATAAATACACAATTTTGTACATATTTTTTAGGGTATAGTTGGTATCACACTATCCCTAAGAATTATTTTCTACTTTTTATAAGGAAGGGAGGATATACACATTCCATATTTTATTACTTGCTTCATTTCTTCAAATTTCAGAGTTTTAGAAAAGTAATAAATAGAATGAAAGTGGATTAAAAAAAAAAGGCAAAAGTAAGTATATATAAGTGGTAGGAAAGAGAGTATGAAAATTGAAAAATATTAAAATACGATAGAGGGGAACACTAGTGAAGTGAAAATAGTAAAATATTGTTAAAAGTTTTCAAAAAAGAAAAAATTGAGCAAATAATAAAATACGAGAGTTAATAAGTATATAATTTAAATACAGGATTATTAACAATTGGTAATTTTCACCTTTAAGAATCTGTTACTTTTTTTTTCACCTTTAAAATTAACCCAATTGTAGTTTAGCTTTGGTTAAATAACATAAGGTAATTATGACGGAGCTGACGGTGGCATGGGGACGCGCCTAATGTTCAAAGGAAGTTAAATCCACAATATTTTATTTATTTCAACATAAAAATCTTGGCGCCCTTTCATTTCTACCTTGTTCTTGAACGAAACACAACATGTTGGAGGTAAAAGCTAAGGCAATGCTCCAAGGTGAAAAAATTTCAATATTGACATAACAAGGTACATGTGTGTATTAGCGCGCTCGTACAATATAGTAGGAAGAATGTAGGATTACTAGGATATATTTAGACCATGAAGAAGTAACGTTGATAAACCAAGTAAGACCATATAGATCACTTTATTATTATATAACTATTATAGTACTCATTAATCATACGGAATAAGGGCTTGTTCAAAATTTCGACTGAAGCATCTTCACTATGTGTGCATCTAGCTAGAAGGCCTTGCTTAGTACATCAACATTGATAGGTATATCAGCCCCGAAAACGGCGTTAGCAATGGTGACCGTACCAGGGTTATGGCTGCTTAATCCAGCAATAGCAGGGTATTTTCCAATATTGAATTGAAAATGAATGAGGCCTTGTGGAAAAACAAACACATCACCTTTGTTAAGCACCTTAGTGAACAACTTGTTATCGCCGTTTGCAAGGTTGGAAGTTACAAAGCCTACATAGAGGGTTCCTTCAATGACTGTAAGGATTTCGCTTGCACGAGGATGAGTGTGAGGAGGGTTAAGTGTTAGAATATATTGATATACATCAATATATTCTGGTAGTGTATAGTTGTTAAGTATATATTTTGTATATTATCTCTTCCTTATTTAAAGGAAGTTAGGTCCTTAATTGTAGCTAACTATACGTACTCTAGTTTGTATATAATGCCTTTGATAGGCCAAGATATATTCAAGGAATTATCTTCTTTCATTAAGGCCGTAAGGTGCGTAGTCAATCCTAGCCAATGAGATGCCGAGGGTGTTGAGCCCTGGAAGTTGTAATGCAGAGACTAGTGTAACAGCGGATTGTACCCTATTGTTAGTGTCCCCTTGCATGTCTAGCCCATCCTTAAAGAAATCCTCGGGTTTAGCATCCATTGGATTCTTACATAACAATCCATTCACAAACACTGCAAATTTATTAAATAGTCCTTAATTAGCATCAATTTTAACAATAAAGTACAAATCGAAATTAAAATTAAATAAATTCACAACATTTGTAATTAAATTGGACACACACAAAAAAAAAAAAAAAAAAAAAAAAAAAAAAAAAAAAAAAACATACATTCATTATTTGGGTCATTTACCGCAACACAAAAGTCTTGTAGCTGAGTAGGTACAGTCGCATAGGCCATGTAGGAAGACATGGCTAAGAAAGTAAGGTAAACAAGAAAATAACGAGCTTCCATGTTAAGATGAATACTCAATTGCTTGCCCTTCTCATTAATTATGATCAATATTTATACAAGAGGTCTCCTTGAGCAACAAGGAAGATAATATCAAAGATAATATTAAGGAAATTTTGACTTTTACCACCAAAAAATTTCGACAAATTGTTTTTTACCACCTACTATTTTAAAAGTTGTATTTTACCACCAAATAAAACTCAAAAAATTCTTTTTTACCACCTGCCATTTAGAAAACCGTTAAATCTAACGGAATTTTTTTAAATTCTTCGATTTTCGTGCCCAAAATATGTTCTTCATAGGTTTAGGGGGGTATTTTGGCCCTATGGGTCCAATTTGAGGTCAAAATTGATAAAAAATGATCGGAAATACCTCATTTTGCGTGTTTAAAAATATATCGAATTGCGTGAACACGCAAAACGAGGTATTTCTGATCATTTTTTTATCTTTGACCTCAAATTGGACCCGTAGGGCCAAAATGCCCCCCTAAACCTATAAAGAACATATTTTAGGCACGAAAATCGAAGAATGTTTTTAAACACCGTTAGATTTAACGGTTTTCTTAACGGTAGGTGGTGAAAAACAATTTTTAGAACATTATTTGGTGGTAAAATACAACTTTTAAAATGGTAGGTGGTAAAAAACAATTTGTCCAAATTTTTTGGTGGTAAAAGTCAAAATTTCCTAATATTAAACTAGGAAACTAAATATCCTAGCCTAAGATAATAACATAAATATAGCTAGGAAATATATCTTGCCTAACCATAAGATCTTGAATATATTCTATCATATCTTTCCTAACACCCCCCCCCCCTCAAATTAGAGCACTTGGATCAAAGATTCCCAACTTGCTAAGGAGATAATCAAACTGCTGCTTCCCCAAGGCCTTAGTAAAAATGTCCGCTAATTGCTCATTTGTGCGCACATGATGAGGAATAATTAGACCGTCTTGAATAGCATCCCGAACAAAGTGACAGTCATCTTCGATATGCTTTGTGCGCTCATGAAAAAGGGATTTTGAGTAATGTGTATCGCCGCTTGACTATCACAAAAAATGGGAATAGCACGAGGGTGTTGGACACCCAAGCTCAAAAGTAGACCCTTTAACCACTTCATCTCCATTGTTATAGAACA